CACATGCATGGTATGTAATTAATTCCGGGTCTAATTAACAACGATTATGTAATTAATTCCGGGTCTAATTAACAACGATTATGTATATTTTGTTCCCAGCATGTAGGCCTTGAAGGTAGGCTAGAGTTTTTTTTTTATTGTGATTAATGGAGGAGGTTGGGAATCTAGAAATACTGCATCATTTTCTTTTAGTTTTTACCATTCAATTATTAGCGACTAGTGGGCAAATCACATCTATGGAGAGCTTCTTACTTCACCACCCAAACACAACAGATAGTTTTAGCCCAACCAAATACCAACAGATAGTGTTAATCCAACCTAATACCAACAGATAGTTTTAGCCCAACCAAATACCAACAGATAGTGTTAATCCACGAAATACCAACAGATAGTGTTAATCCAACCAAATACCAACAGATAGTTTTAGCCCAACCAAATACCAACAGATAGTGTTAATCCAACCTAATACCAACAGATAGTTTTAGCCCAACCAAATACCAACAGATAGTGTTAATCCAACCTAATACCAACAGATAGTTTTAGCCCAACCAAATACCAACAGATAGTGTTAATCCAACCTAATACCAACAGATAGTTTTAGCCCAACCAAATACCAACAGAAAGTGTTAATCCAACCAAATACCAACAGATAGTGTTAATCCACGAAATACCAACAGATAGTTTTAGCCCAATGGCTCCGAGACTTGGATGGTCACGAAGACAAATACTGATAAGCTAAAGGCATTTGTAAAGAAATGCTTACGACACTTAAAATAAGATGGCCAGACAAAATATCAAACAAAGACCTGTGGCGAACTTTAAAGCAACAGCCAATAGAGACAGATGTCAAGGCCCGAAAATGGGGATGGATCGGACACACATTAAGAAAGGAAAAAGAAAACATCGCAAGGCATGCTTCAGACTGGAATCCCCAGGGAAAACGGAGGGTGGGCCGGCCAAGGAAGACATGGAGAAGAACGGTTGAAGAAGAGGCGAAAACAGCTGGGCTCACATGGGCACAGATAAAGGGAGCAGCCCAAAACCGAGTCCGATGGAGATGTGTGGTTGCAACCCTTTGCTCCCCAGGGGCCACAAAGGAATTATGATGATGATGATGATGCGTGTTAACCCAACTAAATTCCAACCAGAGTTTCTTCCAGGCATCTATTCGGGGGGGGGGGGGGGGGCGGGCTTTGCCCCCCGAAGAAAGTCTACCCCCCCCCGAACTAAATGTAATTTATATAGAAAATATATACTTTTAACAGTGCCCCCCCCCCAAAAGTCTACCCCCCCCCGAAAATTTGAAGTGCCCCCCCCCCCCGCCTGGCCGGAGAAAAAAGTCTGAAAGAAACACTGATTCCAACAGAGAGTGTTAAATAACACCAATCTAACAATGAGCTTGCTTTAATATAACCGTCCATAAATGACGCAAACACTTCATAAAAATATTTTTACCTTCCCTCCGTCACACATCGTCACAATATGCCAGATCCGCACGCCTGAAATGACGTCACACCTCAGCCTTAAAATTGAAGTTCGATTTTTAAAAAAAACAAAAAAAAAACATCAATTTCTTTCTAAATATTAACCGAGCTATTACAATAGCAAAAAAATTTAATTCACTAAAACAGTTTTCTAAAACGCAAAATAAAGGCTAGCTTCAAATTCTAGCATTACTTTTTTTAATGCAAAAAGTGTGACATCAAACTATCTAACCCCCTCCCCGCAATCACATATCGTCACAAAATTACGATCCCCTCCCCCTATTTGTGTGACGTCAGTCTATAAACGACCACTAACATTAATTAAAACACATAAATACACGCTTAAACCACTTCTCTCTGGCTATTTTCTTTACAAACCCGTGCCCTAGCAAAATATACATGAACAAATTGCTTAACTTAGAGCTTTAATAACCTTTAACTTTTAACCCTATAACTTACAGTTTGGTTAGCTTTACCAAACTCTAAACCTATTTGTTGACACTAACGCTTGCTTTAACTAAATACTAAATAGATTAAAAATGTGCGTATATGATTTAGAAAATGTCCAACATTTACCTTTAAGATTTAAGTGTGAACTCCTAATGAGAAAGTCACCCTACCATTATACCATAGCCTATTTTCATGATGAACATTTCTAGCAGGAGGAAATCCCTTCCGTATAGATTTCCCAGGCAATATTTTTTGCTTTCATTACGCATGCGCATATTTATTAAACTGCACCGCTCGTGACCTAGTTAGTCCCTGCTTTAGTTCTATTTTTAGTTCTATATTTCTGCCTTGTCGTAGGTGTAGCCACAGGATGCTAGTAATTTTTATATTTCGCAATTTCGCTGCGGGGAATGTCTAATTTTTTAAAACAAAAACAACAATTATTTATTAAAACTTAAATAATATGAGAGAGTGGCCTAATTTTAGAAAGCGCTTTATGGATATAATATAAAATTATCAGATTCTGAAAGTTTTTTGAGAAATCTGAAATGAAGCTATGTACCACTTCCGGTTATGGAAATCTCTCAAAAGTTTATAGAAATCTAAGCACTTGCACTTATGCATATATATGGCGTTTCGTACTGAAACTGTTATCTAGTCATTAGTAAACAGGAAATAGAGTAAGCAATTCCGGAAATAGAAATTTCTTCTACCTAACTGAAACACCACTCGAGTTATCGTTTCCCACGGAAATAGAGTAAAGTAAAAATTCCGTTTGCCGGAAATTGAATAAAATTTAATAGATACTTGCTCAAGCAATCTTATACTAAAATGAAAATTTCGTCCACCTAACTTAAACGGATCTTAAGTAATCGGTATTTAAGAAACCAAAAAAAGTAGAACAGTACCACTACCGGTTTTTGGATTTTTTTTCAAAAGTTGAAACAGAACTACAAATTTGATACAAAACTTATATTGTACTCTTGTTGTGGCAACCCGCTAATGTTTCATGGCCTTGATTAGCTAAAAATTTTAGTATAGCTAGAGATTAGCCATGTTAATCTATATATATATATATATATATATATATATATATATATATATATATATATATATATATATATATATATATATATATATATATTCATCAATAGCGTCTTTCATTCTGCTTATATAGGCTACACATTTTTTTTCCTCCCGTTTTGGGATGTTATTTTGTAAGACTAGACCTATTTAATTGCAAATATGTAAGTCTGTTCAACTAGTACCAGTTACTGAATCAACACATTAAAAAGTATGAATTGTTTTATCTATAAATTTTGAATTTTAGCCATGTAGGCCTAGACTGTAGTTAACTTGCCGTTGCTTGTGTTACAGTAATGGGGAGACAACAGTGATCTATATACTACTAAAAGTCAAGTTTGTTTACATGTTTGAATATTTATTTTTTTGTTTTTTTGTTTGTTTGTTTGTTTGCCTGATTGACTATCTCGCATGGTTGCACTCATCGTGGAAAGCTGTAAAATAGTATGTAGGTAGAGAAAATTTTTTGTTTTAAGACAGACTGTTAATCACACATTTATTTAAAGACGTTAATTAATTTATTGATTTATTCATTGTTAAATTAACCGTATTTTTTTAAAAATGTTAATACTTTGAATAAACTTTGTGGGGATAGTGACGTCCCTTGATAGTGACGTCAGAGTTTTTTGTTGACTCTTTAGTACAATAAAATGGCGGCGTCTATCGAAGAAAATTGTGTTCCCATTCCAAAGTTTAACGCGTTCTAAATCTAATTTTCTGTCGGTCATAACTTTAACAATACGTCCGTTTGCTGTATTTATTACGTTCCAACACTTATATCAATTTTCAACTGTCTTTTTTCATTTAGTTTTACAATAAATTTCTCTAGATCTAAAGATCAGCTGTCGAAGGAAATTTATGAATCTAGCCTAGATCTAGATCTAGGTCACTAAACTCAATGTAAATTCTAAATCTAGACTTAATGTAAATTCTACATCTAGAATCTATTTCAGGCCTTAATACATCTAGAATCTATTTCAGGCCTTAATTATTTTATATAAATCTTTGTTTGGCTAATTTAAGATAAAATTTAATTTGAAAGTTACTACTTCTAGACTAGACGCTCGAAATCAAGTTGCATCAAAGTATAGTATAAAAATTCATTTCTGACGTCACGAGTAAATAGCTAAGTTTGTAGCGTAGTCCGCTCTCATGCGAGTGGTACAGGTTCTAGACCAATATGTCAATGATATTTTTTTTCAATTTTTTTTTTTAGATGTTAATGATAAAAAATGATATTTTTTTTCAATTTTTTTTTTTTAGATGTTAATGATAAAGTTGCCTATCTGAACTTGGCAGGATACAGGGCAGGTGAAGTAGAGTTCATCTTTTTTTTTGTCCTAACCATATGAAAGGATAGTGTGGTCAGAGACATGCTCGGCTGGAATCGTTTTTTAAACGATAAAAACATGTTGTCTGAGACTTGGCGGGACACTGGGCAGGTGAAGTAGAGTTGAGTAGGTCACATGTGACGTCAGTATATGAAGGGATAGTCCGAAATCGGTGTTTTCGGTGTTTTTAAAAGATAAGAAACATATTTTTGAATGTGGGCTCTGTTTTTGTGACGATAAGTGACACTGCAGTAGCGTAGCGAGGAGGGGGGGGGGAAAGGGGAGGCGGGGGGGGGGGGGGGGGGGGAAAAGGGGAGGCGGGGGGGGGGAGGTGAAGGGGGGGGGAGGGGGGACGTATGTTGGGGCGCCAAAATGGTTTGGAAAAATAAATTGAAAGGTTGATGGGGGTTCAAATCGAAAGTTTGAGTGGGGGGGGGAGGGGGTGCACATCAAAAGTTTGAGGGGGGGGGGTTAAAATCGAAAAGTTTGTCCCCGGGCGCCGGGAAGGCTCGCTATGCCTCTGAGTGACAGACGTGATGTTTTTTTATGGATGACCCCCGAAACCCACAGTTATCCAAGGGATGACGGGTATTCTAGTATAATTTAAAACTAGACTAAAAACACAGTTATCTACCTTTCTCGTTCATGACGTCATTGCAATGGCTGCAACCTATGGAATTTGAAGGGCTCATTCAATTTACTCTTTGAATCGAAGCATAATTTCGAAATTTTCTTGAACAACATACATTATTCGTGATAATCTTATTAGAAAGCAAGGTTTGAATATCAAGGTACATAACTGATTTCAATGTTTTATTTAATTTTTGGATGTTTGTTGCGATAAATCTAAAATCTAAATCAATCTAAAATCTAAAAATGTGGGTGTGAAGTGTGAAAGAAATGGCCTGGGAGAACGCAGTAAATCACTGACTGAAACCGTCAATCGGTGTTGATTTTCTAGACTTAGATTTTAGATTCTAATCTAGATTTAGATCAAGATTCTTGATTAGATCTAGAGTAAAGTTCCACGCGCGGTTAAAACACCGGTGCGATCATCGCCTGTTTATCGCTTCGTACAATATTTGTTTTGATGTTTTATACGAAACTACCGATATCTGCTGTAAACCTGTCCATTTCTAAATATATCCAGGTCAAATTCTTTTGTTTTTCTCCTTCTGGAAGTCGAGTTTTTAAATTTTAAAGTTTCGAGGTATGACGTCGTAGGCGGTTCTAGTTCCCCCTATGAAAAACACTAGGTCCCGGATGAGATGAATAAAACCAACTAATCAAAGCTTTTTATAATTAGGTTAACTATAAATAGCTTCTACAATATATGCGGGACACTTTACATACGATAGATAAGGCTAATAAAGCAACCTGATAGGTAAATAGGGGTGGCCGCAGCTTGGGTGTCGATTACGGTGGTTTCACATCGCTGCGTAACCAACGACTTGAGCTAGACTAGCCTAGTTCTAGATGCTCTATATTTCAAACTAAGCCTAGAATCTGTATACTTTCTATTTTTTTCTGCTGTTTTAAATTATTTCGATCATCTACTTCTTCTAAATCTAGTTTGTGTCTCTACATACAAGCATATCTAAGCAAATGTTACGTTATGTCTTTTAGTGGTTGTTACGTCCCTTTGTTATGATTATTATAGTTGCGTCCCTTGAGTCATCACTGGGTCAACTTTTAATGTCTTTAATTAATTTAATTAACATGTTTTTAATTATTATTTTTGCAATCTATTAATTAATAATACAATCAACAACACGTTTAAGTGTGTAAAATATTTATTTCAATTATTAAAATTGGATCAAAACGTATACAATACGCTCGTTGGCAAGCAGGTTCTTGCGTACGCAGGCAAAAAAAAAAGGGAAAAAAAATATCGCAAGGAGGGACGTCACTAAAACATGAATATCTTAAATACTATGCGTAGGAATACAAAATGACTCATACATATTACAGTAGAATGGCAGCGGAGTAATACAGTGCTTTCGGTTTGTTTCTGTGTGAAACGGTTATAAAATAGCGCCCGATGAAAATCGGGAATTTGGAATTTTCCGCTATGTGTGACCGCGCGTGGAACTTTACTCTAGATTCTAAATCAAGATTTCGGTACGGGACAATGTAAAATGGGAGCTAATTCATTTATTAATATTTATAAAAGACTAAATACAACTCAAATATTAAAAAAATTAATATTTGTATCGACTACATTTTATTTTTCGATTCCGATGGCGAGAATTGACATGTTAAAAATGGCAAATTTCAAGAAGTACGATGAAAAAGTCCGGAAGTGGTCGTACCGCATCAAAACTGCGGAAGTCGAAATGCCTAAGTAATAGTAAATTATGAATGACTAGCTTACAGCTTAGTTGCAAATGTTCACCACACTAACCCTAACCCATGGGGTCATCCATAAATCATATGACTGATATGACGGCACACTTTGTGATGATTTTCAGAGGCATAGCGACGGGGGGCGGGCGGCGGGTACATATATCCCCGGGCGCCAAAATGATTTGGAAAAAAAATTAAAAGCTCATTTTAGCTGCAGTTTTGAATTATAAATATAAAAAATTTATGGGGGGGTGGAGGGGGAGGGAAACCGAAAGTTTGTCCCCGGACGCCGGGAGTGGGTGTCTATACCTCTGATTTTTATCTCCTTTCTGCAATTTATCACAAAACGACAGATACTTCCACCCCCCCCCCCCTCCCCCAATTGATGTTAAAGTTACACCTCAGCTTAAAACAATCCTCCCCTCAAAACTGCGGTTGAATTTTTATATTAAAAATGTAAACATTTGATTTCTTTCTTAAGTATTGACTTAGCTCAGTCATTTGTTAATATAGACTAGATCTATATAGTATATTAATACAGTTCTATTAGGCTACAATTTACAAAAACTCTTTTCTAAAGCATGAAAATTGGCTAAAATTCAGTTTCATCCACTACTTTTGAAAATGCATAAGTGTGACGTCACACTATCTGAGCATCTTCCCCCACCCGCATCATTCATGGTCACAAAATTATTTTCTCAGAGTCAATTGTTGGTTATCTTTAATACTAAAACTCCAGCAATACATACTTTAAATAGGCCTACATTCTAGATTTAACTTAAAGTAGACTAGATCTCTAATAATTAAGTATATTCCAAGTGGCTGCAATGCCAGACAATTTACATATAATAGTGGTTAAATTGCCTGTCAATGTTATATGCAGGAAAAATTTAAAAATAAAAATGAGATCAACCTGCAGTGTTTTTTTTTTTTTTTTATCTTGAATGTTTTGAAATATCAGCAATTCAAATAGGGCCTATTGTAATATTCTTTGTTAAGGCATTATTGAAAAACAGAAAACAGCTGTCCAATGTCATCAAGCCAATTGATTACTTTTCCATCTCTACATCTTTCCTTGGCAACTTCTTTCATACCACCTTCTATAGGACTTAACTTCAGTGAGCTACAGGGCCTTCCTAATATTTTAAAATTATTTTTGCTCTATAAGTTTTTTTTTAAATCTGAAAGTCAGTATCATGACACTTTAATTTCAGCCTACTTAACTTAAAAAAATCTATTACTGAACAATTTAAATATTGTCAATATAAAAAAGATGGTTGCATCTATCACACTTTTTTCTCCAGTACATAATGATACAAGCATGTAAAGGATGATCCAGTATTTTGTTATGATTTATTTTAGGGTCTGGCTGGTATAGGTGCTTGTATAGGCATACTTGTGAAACAAAATGGAAGATTCTTCTGGCAATTGAGAATTGCCAATAAATTGATTCAAATAAGCGTAATTTGGAAGACAGATTTAACTGCCTCTCTACCTCTAGGGTCAATTTTCCACAATATAGTTTACCAGCCGACCCGGGGCGTATTATACGCCGCTAGGCTATCATACTCCGCTAGGCGTATCATACGCCGCTATTTACTCATTATTTAGTTGTTTTATTTTCTACTTTTCAGTAATTCATAATTTATAAATTCGACAGTACCAATGCTGCCACTGAAAATATTTGCTTTAAAACACTATCAGTAACTCATTAAGGACGTGGTTGAGTCGGTTAAGCTTATGATTGCTAAACTTATAAGTCACGATTTCGAACACTCTGGCAGATGAGGCTCGATAGCTAGAGACAACTCCAAAATCAAACAACTGCAGCCTTGTAGTTTGTCCTTGGTTGGACAAAGGCTGTGGAAGCATAATCAGTTGATCTGTATACTTAATTGTGTTGGAGGTTAATCCCTTTCAACACTAAAATTAAGAACGAAGAAGAAGAACCAAAATTGAATAATTTATAACCTTTGTGTAGTCAATACACAATTACTTCTGTTTTTTTCAGGGCTAGAAATAGTCAAACACTACTAATATAATAGTAATTTAGCAAACACTTTTATTTTTATTTGGATAGGTAGAGTCAGGGTGTTGTGGTGATAGGAGATGTTATATTATTTATTATAAATACAATACTACGCTATACACCATAGGCCACTATTGTGTATTTTCATTATAGAAAACAATTGTTCTGACTTTTTATTTTACTCTCCCTGGCCATTCCGGTTGACTTAAAGGAGAGGTTGAGGCTGTTTTTTTTAAATATTTGAATTGATAAAATAATTCTAAACATCTTTTCAAAGGGTTATATTAAAAAATATGCAAATAAGTGTAATCAGCGTTTCCCAAACAGCTTGAAGTTTTTAAAATATAACTATATATTTATGGCATGACAAATTTAAAAAACTATTTAGTATGATTTCATTGACTTTTCAAGCCTATTGCTTGATTTATGAAAACAAATATGCCCTTTTACACTTATTTGTGTGCAGTTTCCTATTGCGCATCTTTCCTTTCACCACTAGGAACCCCCAGTGGTTACCCATCTTTATTGTGCTAATTTCTCCAACTGTCCCCAATGTCCCCCTCCAGCCAGTTCACCTAGCTGTGAATGTGAGCAGTCTCTCTTCCTATCACAATTCATAGAGCTGTACTTATTTTATTACACTGTTAGCAGTCTACTTCAGTACTTGTTAGCTAGTAACTTATCCCCTTATGGTTCATATTCCTAGTATTATTATTATCAGTAACTGTACTACAATCGATATGAAGTTAAAACTTTTAAATCTAACCTTAAAATTTAAATCTTATACTAAGTCTTAGTTAATTGTAAGGATTAATAAAGTATCATTTCAAGAATCCAGTTGTCTTTATAATGATTATAGTTTGAACTTAACGGATGGGCAAAATGAATGGCTTTTCAAAACTTGGTTTAAAGATGCTAATGTTAATCTTTCTGAAATCAATCAGAAATTGTCTAATTTAATTGTGAATGTGTGAGTTCAGCACAAATTTCTAAGTTTCATTTTAAAAGAATGCTCCAGTTTCAATGTGAGGGCTAGTGCATGTGCTACAGGGTATCTAGCATGAGGGAATCAGGTCAAATGTAGCAGACACCTGGTAGTGTCTGTCCATCAGGACAGGAAGCTGGGGGGGGGGGGGGGGGGGGGGGCAAGGTGCACAACACTCAAACATGCTGACTCAAGTTTTAGCCTCATCTTTTAACTGAATTTGTTTTCTTGTATCCTGTGTAGTGTGTATGTATGACATCTGTCTTTACCTAAGCATACATGTATGTGTAGTATGTATGACCTGTAGCATACATGTATATGTGCAGTGTGTACAACTAGAGTCCCCTTGTGTATCACTCACATGATGTATATTATGTCTGACATACAGCCTCAGGTAGCACACCTGATGTCCCCCCCCCCCCTTCCTCTTTAACCCCACCTGACAGCTACTAGTAAACTACCTATTTGAGTTCCCCCACCTCACCTCCCCTCATTGTGTTGCAGGTAGAATTCAGGTCCCAGACCCTGATTCTTCTTACCTTTCTTTACCTGCTGAGTTTTACTTTTCCCCTAGTTAGATGAGTACAGGAGCTGTGTGTGTGCTGCCCCCTCTAGTCCCCTTCACGTGCTGGCTTGGTTTTTTTATCTCTACTACACCCAGCATGGCAGTCATTAGTTGTCAGTAGGAGTTTCAAGGATTTGTTTCAATGAATGTGTTCTAGTTTTGAAAATTTGTTGATCAATGGTGAAAGTTGCTGAGACAATCCATGTCCCAAGTCACCTACTTAAAGTATTTAATGTGTTGTTTTGATGAGAGACAAGTAAGTTGCTCCCATTAATTCATTTCTAGTGTGCATTCTACTGAATGATGGGATGGTGTGGCCTAGGGATAGAGCGCTAGACTGCTAACCCGAAAGTCTTGAGTTTGAACCCGGGTTACAGTCAGTCAGTTGAATGTCCCTATCAACCCAACTGTTAGGAAAAGTAAAAGCGACTGGGCATAGTGCTGACCACATTATCCCTTTATATGCCAGGGTCAAGAAACATGAACTATACTTCATCTGACAGATGTAGATCACTAGGTCTAAAGAGGAATCTTTACTTTTATTTTACTGAACGGAAAAATAGCTCTAATATTATTGTCCCAGACATACCTACCCTCCCACTAGAAGCGTAATTGTTATTTATTTTTTTTATAAAAAAATCGTGTTCTGTTCCGCCAATCTGCTTTTGCCAACGTTGGTTCCATTTTTTTTTTTTTTTAAATTAATAAAGAAACTAATAAATCGAATTTTAAAAAAGGAACAGGGAAAAACGATTATCTCCCTTGGGCACACGTTTGTTTCCTTGGTTAACTTATGTGTTGTTGTTTTTTTAATGTAAACTGACGTTAAGCAGTATTTAGACTATTTATATATAACTAGAGGCCTACTAAATATGCTTGTATCTATGCCACTTTGTATAATATCATTAGACTTATTTTATTTTTTTTTTTTGGCTGAGTAAAGTAGCATCAGCAGGTATGTTCCTCTTTTTGGCTTCAGGTTCCTCTTTTTAGGTATGACTGTTCTTAGTTTTGGTTGCAAGGGTAGCCATGTCTGTTGTCCAGGTTTTAATTCATAACATAACATTTATTTCTTTTGATTGCTTTGGAACTTAGCCCCTCAGTGCTTGTTAAGGGGATATACTAAGCAAAAAATCACAAAATTTCTTGTTTTTCGTCATGATGGGTTTCTTGCACTTTCGGATACTTTGTCCATTTTTGTATTAAGAAATTCATTACTCTAATGAGAAATATAATTATTTATGTATTCAAATTACCATTTTTATGACCCTATTAATTAAAAATAATTAATTTTTTCCATTCTAATAATCGCTCTAACAAAAGTTTTATATCCGTCATCATTTTATATTTGACATCATTGGAAAGCTGGACTTCTTATGTGTTTTATAATCCTAATTTCCATCATATCGGAAACATCCAAAGCTTTGCAGTTTACACAGATATGGTATTTTTGTGACCTACTTTTTGTTACTTTTTGCTGTTTATCTCAGTTGGCAGGTTTTTAACACTAAAAGCCCTACTACTTTTTTATTTATTGAACAATACCAACCATATTTTCAGTAATTGTTCTTTATGCCAAAATAAAACTTTTGTCACGAGGGAATCGTGATGGCTTTCATAAGAAAAAGTATTTGGTAATTAATATGCACATTTTTAAAATTTTTGATACTAAAAAGGGTACGATTTTTTAGACCTTGTAAAATTTTTACTAGTAGCTATTTCAAAAAGTTGTCGTGACAAAAGTTTTAAAATATATTGAAATATAAGCAGTTTAAATTTGATTGCTATAAGTTCATAAACAAAAAAGCCTTAGCATTTTTAATAGTGCCGAAAAATTCAAAATGGCTGAGGTTTTTTGGGGTTTCCATGACAACCAAAATTGTTTTCAACCGTTTTTTCGCTGTTTAATACTTACTTTCATGTGCCAAACATGATAATAGTATTCAAAAAGCTTTCGATCTTAAATTGTAAAAAAATAGAAAAAAACATAGCATATTCCCTTAAGAAAGCAAAGTTCTTTTTTTTAAGTTATAAGTTTTTGCTGTATTTATCATTTATTACAACACAAGAGATTTAATTTCTAAAAGGATTGCAGGAAGTAGGTGTCTCGTGACTGGAGTTGGCACTATAATTTGAATGCTGAACTTTAATTGTTATACATATTGACCTCTCATTGATATTCTTATTGACCTGTCCTTGAGGTCCACATAGACCTCACCTTAATGGTCCACTACTTTACTGGCTGCCACTACATGAAATAGGTAAACTGTTGATTTTTGTAAACTACTTCAATTTTTTGTTTGTTTTCTAACTCAGAAAAGCTGTGTAGAGGAAGATACTAAAGTCACCAAATCAATCACCATGGCAACAGTGACAGATGTGGTAACTAGCCAACAGGTGGCTGGTCTAGTCGGCAACATGGCTGACTCACTGGAGCCCACAGAGTTACCTAATGAAACAGATGGGACACTAAACAGGTGGGCTGATAGTGTGCTCACAGGGGATGGGGGTGGGGGGTCAGTCTGACATTATGGAACAATAAGGGAGGTGGTGTGGTCTAGCTAGTTATGCAATCAACTTATGGTAAAGTTACTTTTGTTTGAAGATTGATTTGTTTTACACTGTAGCTAAGGTCTTGTGTTGACAACTGTTTTGTATGTTTGCAGTAATGGTGTGGACAGAGAGGATGGTGATCTCATAGAGGGCTCAGCTGTACAGGTACCCAGCAATACACCTGTCACAGGTGACTCTGGTCAATGCTCACCAGCCATGCAGGTCAGTGTTGACATCTACTCATTTGGTGCACATACATGCTCACTCACCTGGTGCACATACATGCTCACTCACCTGGTGCACATACATGCTCACTCACCTGGTGCACATACATGCTCACTCACCTGGTGCACATACATTCTCACTCACCTAGTGCACATACATGCTCACTCACTATATTTGACAATAAGGCCAAAAATTTTCTTGTAGGGGCAATAACTTCTTTGTAAGGGCAATAACTGTCACATAAAGGTTATTACTTTCTTGTAAATGCAAATACTTTCCTATAAGAGAGCTCTAACTAATGTCTACAACCTCTTGTATATCTCCACAGAGCAGCACAGACAGCCTAACAGAAGAGCTCCAGCCCCAGTCAGAGACCCCCCTGACAGAGACCCCCCCACCAGTGTCTGACCCTGTGACCCCCACTGTAGACAGTGACCAGAAACCCACCCCCAATGGACCTGTGTCAGACAACAAAACTAAGCTGGCTAAAGAAGTGAAGAGGGAAGAGAAGAAGAAAAGCAAGAAGAAGGAAGACAAGAGTATAGGTCAGTTGTCTTTCCATGCTGGTTTGATTACTAAGTGGCCTAATTTAGTTGTCAACACCTTAAAACAAAAGTATCCACAAAACCCAATTAATTGATTCAAAATTTTTATAGGCTAATTCAAGAGTTACAATAGCCTATTGAATGTGAATCAGCTGTATAGCTTGAACATGTGCTCAATAAATCTCACAGTTGACATGCTCTGAAAAGCAAATGTAGGCCTACATGTTCTGTTTCTGTCCTTAGCTAACATCTACTATGTTTCTCCCCACAGATTACATCTTATGTACACACAGTAGCATGTGTACATGTACTCTGTTTTGGCCTACAGCTTACATCCTAGGTGTACTGTGTTTCTCCCCACATATTAAACCCTACATGTAATTTTCCTCATAGCTTACATCCTACATGTACTGTTTCTCCACACAGATTACATCTTACGTGCCCTCAACAGCTTACAGACACCTGAAGAAAAGTTGGCTGCGCTGTGCAAGAAGTATGCTGACCTGCATGAGGAGCACCGAGTCCTTCAGACTTCCTTCAAGACCCAGCAGAGAACCATGGCTGTGGTAACTTTACTTAATACTGCTCCAAAACCAAACTCTCCTGGATAACAAAAACATTTTTACCAGTCCTCTTGGTCTGCCAATACAATAATGATTCTTTCTCACATTTTGTCCTGCCAATAACATACTGCTTCACTGAACAAACACAAAGTCAAATCACTCATTACTGATGTGTAATAACTTTATATGTACTATTGTGACATGGGTTTCCTGTGGTAACATGACTTTACCTTACAACAGGGGTCTCCAAACTTTTCAGTCCGAGGGCCGCATTAACTATCAAATTTCAGTTCGGGGGCCAGTTTCTTCCAGGCATGTCTTTGATTTTTCTGGGCAAAGTTCCTCAGCCATCACCAACAAACGATTTTTCCTTGAACAAAAAGATCTCCGCGGGCTGGATGAGAGGACTTCAAGGGCCGCATCTGGCCCGCGGGCCGTAGTTTGGAGATCCCTGCCTTACAACAACAAAATAACTTTCCAATATTTGCTTGTGTCAGGTGATGAGAGAGAAGGACCAACTCCAGTCAGAACATACAAAAGCTATCATGGCCAAGTCCAAACTGGAATCTCTGTGTCGTGAACTCCAGAAACACAACAAGGTTATCAAGGTAGGGGACTTGCTTTATTTCTGTCCTAGGGGCCCATTGGTGTTGGGTACACAGGTGACAGATGCTGCTGTACCTCAGGTGGGAGGCTGGGTTGATTTCACTGGGATGGTAACAGACCGGATCACTTTAGCTGGATTGTTTTTTCTCAATTAGAGGGTTAAACTACTCTCATTTTGATGCCAGGCAAACTGAAGATTGACATTGTTTATACAACTATGGTTGACTTAGCTTTACAACTAACTTTCCATTTATCCAGGATGAAAGTATTAAAAGAGCCAAAGAGGATGATGAAAGGAGAAAAGAAATTTCTGCCCAATTTAATGTAAGTTTTCTTTGTTCACAAGAGCCAGATAGAGCAAAATATTTGCTCAGATCAACTTTTTTAGGTTTCTATGAATTAAGTACATGTATATGGTTACTATGAAAGTACATTGGTACTGTTACTGTAAATGAAGTACCCATGTACTGTTGGTGTAAAGATGTGTTTGAATCCCCAGCAAACCATAGGAGAGATCCAGACCCAGATGACAGATAACAGTGAGAGAAATGCCAAACTCAGGCAGGAGAATGAGAACCTGGCGGCTCAACTCAGGGCCTTCATCAAGCAGTGCGAGGTCAGAGATCTGGTAGGTCATTGATTCATTACATCAGGCATGTCAATAGTTTGTCACTTGTCATTAAGTTTGAGCCAGTCATGTCACTTGTCATTAAGTCATGTCTCTCTAATGTCACTGTTTTGTCCTGCAGCAAGTAGAGAAGCTGAGAGAACAACATGAGCTGGAGAAAAAGTTGGCCGAGGCCAAGATGAACCAGGCCCAGGCCATCCTGAAGGAACATGAAGAAAAGTCCATCAAAGAGAAGGAACTGGTGAGATGTTGATTGATGTGGTGGTTATAACCTTGTCTGATCTCTCTTACTGCTGGCCTTCTGGTGTGTCTGATATCTGCTTGTCTAACTAAATATCTGCTTGCTTTTGTGACTGGAATAAAGATATTTGACTAATCTGTGATCTGACTCCCCCCACAGATGCTGCTCAAACTAGCAGAGTCAGGCAAGAAAACTCAGATCCTGGAAACTCAGGTTTGTCTCCTCTAGTGGCTGCTCTCTCCCTCTGGATTCTGTAAAAAAAACAGTATATTTTGTAAGAGTTTTTGTCTAGCTCATCTCATGTGTGTCTGTCTTGTGTAGGTGAACATGTACAAGGAGAGATATGACGAGTTTGAAAAACTCCACACACGCAGCAGTGAGACCTTCCAGAAGTACAAGACTGAGATGGACAAGGTAAGGCTGCTCCAACCACGGTCAAGTGGGGGGGATCTTGGTCCAACCTGACTAGATACATACCAATGGAAAATTGTATTTGACCAGTTCATGACAGTGACAAGAATCTACTAATGTGTGTTTTATTGTCTGTAGATGACGAAGAGAATAAAAAAACTAGAGAAAGATGGAGTCCAGTGGAAGACAAAGTGGGAGGGATCTAACAAAGCTCTCATTGAACAGATTGAGGCTGTAAGTACATAGGGCCGTTAGAGTGCCACTTTTTTTTTGTCATTCCATACCAATATTCTTGTTGGGATAGTTTTGTAATGTCCAAGTATGAAATATTAATGAATTTGTTTTTTGGACCCATTACTCTTGAGTATTTTTTTTTTAAAGTGTTATTCTGATGTCCTGTTGTGAAATATTGAAATGTTCTCTTATTTTTCTCCTGCCCTGCTGACCCCACCCATTGACAGAGGTCCAAGTCTGAGAAGGATTGTCTGATGTACATCCAGAAAACCAAAAAGTTGGAATCTCTGTGTCGAGCCCTGCAGGCAGAGTTACATGGGAAAAAGGTGGAGCCCCCACCACAAGACTCCAGTAAGTCAGCCCCACCTTCACTATACCCTATATGCGCCCCACATGTACAGTACAGTTATTTATGAAAAGTTATGAGATTCTAGCTGATAACTAAAACTGGCAGAAGCGCTTAATAGTTTAGTAAATACATTTGCTGTTCTTTTTTTTAATAATTTTTAAAGTTAAGGTTTTTTCTAAATTTTGGGCGGTTTAGTGAAATTTAAATTAACAAAATGGCTCTGCCATTTATTTATAATGCGACTAATAATAAAGGAAATTGAAAAAGAAATTAGCTGCTTTTTAACATTTAAAATATATTTTTATTAGAAGTTGTGATTCCTTTTTTCTGGGGTTAATGTAATGTTTTCTATGTATAATGCTTTTTTTTTATCTTACATGGATATATTAAAACTGTTGCCTTTAAATGTGGCGTAGTTTGCTATAAATTTCTTTTTTTTTTTAACTCATTCATGTAAATTTTTATATAAATGATTCCATAAGTTCTATTTGTTGATCCAACAGGTTCAGCAGAAAGCCAGGTGCAGGGAGAGCCCTCGTCTGACCAGGCACCGGCAGATCCCTCGTCAGATTCATCAAGTCAGTCACCTGCTGGACCAGGTGAACAAGCAACTGTTGAGCCACCTGCAGCCAGCACCACAACACCTGTCTCCACACCTGACACCTCCCTCTCATTACCTGCACCACCACCAGATACACCAGCATCCATGGATATTTCTTCCTCGAACAGTGACACAGCTGTCAGCCAAGGGGACAGCAATACAGACTCTATACAGCAGAGCAATCAAGTTTTATCTGACGTTGCTGCGTGATAATTCACGTGTTGTGTGGCTGTGTGACTGCATGCATGTGGTGCTGTTGTCTGTTGCAAATGGTGTGCATGCAGTTCCCCCCCTTTTCCCAAGCATTCATCTTTTCTCTTGTTGTGTAACCTAGCATTAGGCTGTAGTGCTCTTCTTTTGCTGAATTTTTTGCTCTTTGACTCATGCTGAACCTGGTATCATGGTCTTTCACATTTAGTTCGACACATGTAAAATTCATAAAACATTGCGAGGAACTATTTAAAAAAAAACCTTTGAATGTTTCATTAATCAGCTAATGTCTAGTTTTATACTGATGTGAAATCATCGTGATTCCTGCGAATGACTTAGTGATACAGAAGATACTCCATTATTTTATCCCTAGCCCCAGTGTTTGCTTTACTAACCCTTCTGTTCTAACCACAGCTTATCTCTTATTTGAATCCTTCCATTGAACAGTTTAAAAAAATATTTTTACATGTGTCAATGTTGGCCATAATAGCAGTTGTAGTGGAATGTGGATCTCAGCTTAATCTTTTTTTAAGACCACTTGGTCAGGGAATGTAAGGCCTACAATTACTTTGAATTAAAATGTAGGCTGCAGTATTTTTTTAAATTAATTATAAGCCATTTAAATCAATTTGTTGTCTCTGGGGGTCTATATGATGGGGCTGTGTTAAAACTATTGTATAGGGCTGTTGAGAATATTTTATTTATTTAGCTGTTCAACTGAGAAACCATGTTTATTGTTCAGTACTGAAATTAAAATCTTGTATATATTCATACTCTGTGAAATAAAACAATTGTATACATTTTTTTATACTTTGGGCCATCAAATAAATCACTGCCTGGCTTTTTATGGTTGTTGATTCTATTATTTTAAAAAAATTGACTGGTATGTGTGCATCAGTGTGGACACCTGCATTTATTTTAAATGCTTACATTCCTGGCGAGTAAAGGGGGGGGGGGTAACTCCTCTTTAAACAGTTTCACCAATTATTTTGGTTATTCCCCTTATTACGTTAAACTAAAAATAGCTGATAATTTCTTGGTTACTTCCCTTATTGCTAAACCGTAAGTTTGATATTTGTTTTGTTACTTCCCTTACTACATAATTTTGTGTTTCCCTATTACATCGTAATTTCTTGGTTAGTTCCCTTATTGCACGAACTTGAGGTCTGGTATTTTCTTGGTTATTTCCCTTTCTATACAAAATTTTGGTGTTACTTCATGTTGATTACTTTTCTAATATGTCGAAGTAATTTTCGCCGTCAACATAGTTCACTACTACACTCTACTAGTGATGCTACTTTTAAAAAATCGCCAACCAAGTAATTTGGTTACCTCGTGTTTGGTCCCAATAAATTATGTTGTCAGGTAGCATTGTACGTCATGTGACTGGATAGCACTGTAGGTCATGTGACTGGGTAGCATTGTACGTCATGTGACTGGGTAGCACTGTAGGTCATGTGACTGGGTAGCACTGTATGTCATCTGACTGGGTAGCACTGTAGGTCATCTGGCTGGGTAGCACTGTAGGTCATGTGACTGGGTAGCACTGTAGGTCATGTGACTGGGTAGCACTGTAGGTCTTGTGACTGGGTAGCACTGTAGGTCATCTGACTGGGTAGCACTGTAGGTCATGTGACTGGGTAGCACTGTAGGTCATGTGACTGAAAGCATAACAATCTAGCCGTTGGTAGATGTTCCAAAGCACCAATTAAAAGTTAAAGACAAACAAATTATTTTCCTAGAAACAAAGGCACTGTTGTTTGTCTAAACTAGCTCAAATGTTTCTACAAATAAACCTTACCCCTCAAAAACGTCAAAGGCAACTTTCAAAAACACGATCAGATTTTTGACAGTTAAAGGGAGAGCAGTCAGAAAAAAAACTAAAAAACTCAAGGCCAGTGTGCAACTGATATGGTGTTTGACATTTCTGCTGGGTCACGGTGAACTTCTGACGTCAGACTGGGTCATTGGGTCGCGTTGGGACGAGAGAAAAACTAAAATAGTTAATGCATGCTTTGTTGCAGCCGATTAGGAAAATATTTTAACGCAGTCTGTGTAAATCTCTTTCATCTCCGTGTGAACTTCGTCCAGGCACTAATTGGGTAGAGTTATCTCTCTTGTTACAACAGTTATCGTTCTTGTACACATCTTTTTTTTTCTTTGCATGCTCTCTGTCGTTGTCCTCCACCCCCCCCCCCCCCCCACACACACAAACACAATCGTATACCCCATATCAGCCCTAAATAATAAACAAGGCAATACAATAGTCAAATTACTTTAAATTTGTTTAATTAGGCAACTTTACTTTGTTTAATTAGACAACTTATTTTGTTTAATTAGACAACTTTACTTTGTTTAATTAGACAACTTATTTTGTTTAATTAGACAACTTTACTTTGTTTAATTAGACAATAAGATTATAAAAACTAAAACGTGTGCTTTTATGTGTATATGTGTGTACCCACGTACCATAAACGTAGCTGTGTGAAACCACACGTGTGGCTGTGTGACACCACATGTGTGGCTGTGTGACACCACATGTGTGGCTGTGTGACACCACATGTGTGGCTGTGTGACACCACATGTGTGGCTGTGTGACACCACATATGTGGCTGTGTGACACCACATATCACACCACACGTGACATCATACATGACACTACAAGAGGAAGTTGATCCAAATGCCAAACGTGTACCAGACCTCATGTCCAGACAAATGACGTCACGACCCATTGCGGCGCCTGGTGTCAACCATCAATTTTGCGGCGCCTCCCCCCCCCCTTCCCAGTATATAGTTACTCACGTTTATGTGCACGACTCTGGTCGGACAGAACAGCTTTTGATTGCTACTCTTGCAGTCAAGAGTTCGAACCCTGGTTAGATGAGGATCGATATTTGGGGACAGCACCCATCTAGGAGAAAAAACACCAAAATAAAACAGATGCTGCGGAAGCAATTAATCCGGAAAGAGAGCAGGCTGAAATCGAAATGACGGATTATATTACCCATAAATGTTGACACGTAATATTTGATTGTGTTGGAGGAAATCCCATTCACCATTACAAAAGAAAACGAAGAAGAAGAATTTAAGTTCTCCTGTCTACTGTGTCATAACTTCGACTGTATATAATTCAATAATGCCGATATTCAGAATGAAATTTTTCTCTACTGCGCTTAGCGCCCGACCCCTAAGGTCGGCGCCCGGGACTGATGCCCTACCCGCACTCCCCTAGGTAGGCCTCTAAAAAAGAACATCCTGGAAAGAACTTGGAACCCCATCATTACTTTTGGTGTGATGAGTGTTGGCTTAAAAGCATTTTTATAGAGATGACGGGTAAGGATTATTGTGGGATTATTTGGGGTTATTGTTAGTTAGGGTTGATTATACCACCCAGTACCG